GGGGGGGGGGGCCCGAGCAGGGCAGAGGGCTCCGCTCACTGCTGCTGGGCGTCCAGCTCCCTCTGGCGGCAGCCCACCGCCGTGATGAGGGCGGCCCCCTTCCCGCTGCCGTCCTCGGACAGGAGGAAGGTGACGTCGCACTTGGGGGCCAGTTCTTTCACCGTCTGATGGAAGATCGGCGAGAAGCTGGGGAAAGAGAGAATCAAATCAGAGGGGGGCTGTTGTGATGCTGGAAAGATGTCAAACCGGTCCAGATCCACAAACAAAGGGATGACAAATATCATACCTGGTGTCGTTATTGTAATTATAATGATTTGTAATAGATTATCTGTATGGAAAAGCTCAGTAAAACCTGTATAAATGTTCTTCCTTCACATTGTTTAAGTTATTTTTAAGTTTTAAAAATGACTCTGACTTAGTTTAAGCTTTTTTTCTTACAGTTTTAAAAGAAAAAAGATAGCAAAAGTCCAATTTTGTCTGATTTTCGAGATTTTTTTCTCCATTCAATCAAGCAACGGAGTCTTCTTTTCTGATCTATTTTTCTCATCTAACCAATGAACTTTACTTTCAAGCAACAGAGTCTTCTTTTCTGATCTATTTTTCTCATCTAACCAATGAACTTTACTTCCTTTCAATGGCTTCCTTTAACTCTCACATTAAGCAAATTTCAAGAACCGCCTTCTTTCACCTTCGTAATATCGCAAAATGGTTCTGCTCAAGGTTTCTCCCTGTTAAAAGGAAGTTTTTCCTTGCCTGTGTCGCCTAGTGCTTGCTCATGGTGGGAATTGTTGTTGGGTTTCTGTAGTTAACTTCAGAGTAGGGTGTGACCTGCTCTGTTTGGAAAGCGCTGTGAGACAACTGTTGTTGTGATGTGGCGCTATATAAATAAAATTGAATTGAATTCCTGTCTATGTGTTTCTCTACTCTACTCCAGATGGGCTGTGACCCTCGGCCGGACGAAGCAGGCCCGGTAAACAGGTCTCCGTCCCCGGGGGTGTGTGGGGGGGGTGGGCTTACTGTGGGTGCAGCTTGTAGAGCGTGCCGTCCACGCCCACAGTGATGTCCAGGTGCTCCAGCTGCCGGTTCTCGCGGATCTTGTCCACCACCGCCGCCATCCCGGCGCCGCAGATCTGGGCGGCCCGGCGGGACACGGTGCCGCACACCTCCTTCACGATGATGCTGTCGTCGCAGGTGCTGTCCAGCCCCAGCTGCTGCAGGATGGCCCGGACCTGCAGCAGCGCCAGGCGATCGCTGGGGAGCGGGTCGAGAGCGGGTCAAAGGTCAACCGACGGCGGGAAAATCACAGGACGCGTCTCAGCTGCTTCAAACTCAAAGCACAGCATCCAATTTTCTGTTTTCTCTTCAACACCAGGTCTTCTGGGGTGCTACGTCTTTATTTTCTATGGGCTATTAGCTCAAACGCATGCAGTTACGTTTTTAAACAGTCTTAGATACCAAAGACGTGTGCTGAAGCTCACAGTTAGGCACAGACTGCTCTGTTCGTGGAGCATAAACACTTGAGAAACACCTTGCCAAAGTAGAGTGTTGGGAGGATGTTTATGGTATAGATATATTTGAGTAGTCCAACTGCACGGAAACGGCCTGACAGAAGACAAAGAGGAAATGTCTATGCTATGGATTAACTACATCCTGACCACACGCCTGAATGAAAACAGCCTGACGTAAGACAAAAAATACAGATATGGGAATACCAAATATAAGGGCAGGCGCACCCAGATTTAGGCAGAGTTTTCTCTGAGACCTCTCCAGACTTGACGCATCAATCTGGACTTCGGACTCGGACCTGACTGACAATAAAATCCTCTTTTGTTTGACCAAGTTCTGCCTCAGAAGAATTTTTCCTGCAGCATCTTCACTCGAGCTATTTGAAGACGATCATCCCATAATTCACCACAGCTCTCATCCAAGCAGCTGTCCGTTTGCATTTATTTGACAGTTCTATCTTAAGAAGTCATCAGTTACATAGCATCTACTGAAAGGTCTTTTTTTTAAGAGCTCAGAAAGCAAAGATATAAAACCCGAGAAACAGCCTGAATGGGTCGTTATCGGCTACGAGAAATGAGGTACTCACCTCTCTATCTGCGACAGGAACTTTGTCTCAAAGATGCCCCTGGTCTTGAGAGTTTCGGAGATTTGCCCTCGGAAGAGGAAGCCACGCTTGGTCAGATCGATTAAGATCTGCCGAACGATTTCGCCAAGGTACATTCCACTGCACATCTTCTCGTATCTAAAAGAGATCAGCTTCAGTTAGCAGTAAGTCGTTTTTTTAGGTTTGAACGACTCAATTATTGGGTGAAATCTGACAATATTTACATCTCAGAAGTTTCTCTTAAGCATTTAATCTGGCTTTTGTATAGAGTGTTTGACCATTTCGATAGAAAACACAACTCCTGACCTTTGTTTCCCCTCATTGAGTGAGTTCTCATCCACAGCCTGGTCATACTTGGTCCTGATGTCGTCCAGACAGCCATTATCCCCAAACGCCCCCCACTCCATGTTGACGCACATGCGGCCCTCAGTTCCCCCGACTATCTCGATGTTCCTCATCTCCTCCATGTAGCAGGCGTTGCTGCCCGTCCCTGAGAAGACACACGGCCACCAAACGAGCATGTAGCCGAACTTGTATCAACGGGAGACTGGCGATTCGAAGGGAAAACCTTCTCGAACAACTCGACTCACCCGCGATCAGCCCCACCTCGCAGGTGGGTTCCTCATAGGCGCAGGTCATCATGGTGCCCACCGTGTCGTTCACGATGGCGACCACGTCCAGCTCAAACTCCTGCAAACAACAGGAGGGAAAGTCAGTCCCATGACAAACTCCAGTCTGGTCACGTGCTGAGATGAGAACGTGTTGGTGTTAGGTCGGTTAGTGTCCTATTTCAATTCAAGAATGTGTTGAACTTCGAAGGAATCCTGATATTTATTTGAGATTTATTTTTGTGGTTTCGTCATGCTAGCATTTCCGTCTAATGCCGGAATGAGGCCAAACATTACAGGAGGCTTCTTGTGACCGGTGGAGGCGAGTCAGGTTTGTAGTCCTGTGCTAACATAGCATTTACATCAGATTGCACCAATAAAAGACATTTAGAAATTAGCTTTAATCCCCTGAATGTTATGCCAAAATGCTTTCATTAAATCGGGATAATTTCTGAAAACACTCTCCAACGTTCTAACATGTGTCTGTGAAATGGTGCCTTGTCTTTGGTGATGCAGTTTTAGAAATATCCTCTAACATGTACAGATAATTAGCAGATTACTTGTTCAGAGATGCTGCAACAAAGCATAAACCAGCAGTTCATTCGATATAAGACCAGTTCAACCAGCCGTATCTGCTGCGCCAACGGGTAAAAATGGGGATTAACACCAGGCCCGGCGCCTGTTCGAACACCACACTGAGCACAATGCAGTCCACTCCCATTCCATGTCAAACTTGACATTAAAATACGCAAGCTTTTTCAGAGATCTGCCACCTTCAGGCGTCACCACATGCTTTTACACCAGAGGCACACACGGCTCCAGTCCAGTCTGGCTTTACCTGCCAACAAAGGGTTTACTCTCAGGTAATACTTACTGGATCCTCCACCTAAAAGGGTGAAATCAACACATGAAACCCTAAAGTGGTAACAACAAGGCAGTGGGAATTTCTACATCAATGATTACTTTATTATTATCTGTATTTATCTGTATTTTATACATTATCTGTATTTTATTATTATCTGTATTTATTATCTTTATTGTATTGTACAAACTCAGATAGCAATGGGTTTTAGATATTGTACATAGATAGAATACAGTTATTTAAGTCTTTTTCAACCTACAATCAATTTAATTAAATACAAGGATTAAATATTTATGCACAAATTCCTTTTCAAATTTATGCCTGCAAAATGTTCCAACAATTCTAGGACAGGATTTTGGACATCCTAAAGTCTTAATTTAAGTTGCACATGAAAGTGTAATGTTACTTATGGTTTTATCTTACCCCGTCTTTTATTGAGCGGTGAACCTCACCAATCCCTTACCCAAACTTTTTTTGGAACTTAATGCAGGCATTAAATTCAAAATGAGTGAATATTCAAACGTATGCGTTTGAATTTCTCCCGTGGGCTTCCATTCTATTCTATTTGCAGATATAATGTATTTGTGATGGATCCAGCATTTTTCTGTGTTTTCACAATGACCCAACATCATTGGAATTGTGGTTTGCGCCTAATAACATAATGGTACAGTTCAGTTTCAGTTCCACTGAGACGGTGGGGTTAAGAGTGTTCGTGCTGAAACTGCAAAATAGCTATTGAGTCTAAAGTTATCTGTGTGCCAGGATTAGCACTTATGTGGTCATGTGATGTTGTTGACTAGCATACATTGACATGTGATCCTCTTTACTCGTAAGTAGCATATGATATCCTTTCTATACATCTCTTTATGAGGTGGTTCCGTTTGACACGCATCCAAATTATCCCCCTTCGGGGCCTGTAATGCTTCCCTGCAACAAACACTGTGGCTTTGATAACACAAATAGTTTTACGTTGTCATATAAACTAGTTAGATTGAATAGTTACACCATGCTGAGGAACATGGGAATTGGGATCAGTTAGGCTAGTAAACATAGTGAAAGCTGATAGAAACACAGAAATATTTTAGTTAGACAATCCTTTATAAAAAATAACAATACCTTTTTTATTTAATTTGCCTGCTATGTTTGCTGTAGGTGTTAAAGTTTTATCTGTGAAAATATCTGATGTCCATTTCTGTAGTTTTAGCAAGCTTGAGACGGCGTTTTTTTAATTACCTCTTTTCTTTTGATTGCGTCCCGAAGAAGCTCCACTACATCTTCCCCCTCACAGTCTGTCGCCTTGAAGCCTTTTGTCCAGGTTACCAGGATACCCTGCACAGTACACAACACTTCTTGGCAAACTTCCCACCAAAATAGTCTGCTTGTGTTTAAAACCGCTTTACAATCCTCTGAACAGTTCGAAAAAGTGGATTCACACCGTAGTGCTGTGCTTAAAGGGACAACACTGAGGAGTGCATTCGCCATTAACTGTCCTTTCGGGATAAAAACTGGGATTTAGATGGATCGGGAGGATTACTGTTTGTTTTGGAGCCAGACCGATAACCAACAGAAAACATGAGAGCGATTGTTGCTGCGATAAGTGGAATAGAACGTACGGCATCCAGGCTGGTCTGATGGCAGGGGAAAGAGAAGGTGAAGCCCAGCGGCAGCCGAGCACTTTTCATCCCCATGTAGTCCAGAAAGTCAGAGATGCAGTGCACAATGTGGTCGAAAAGCTGGAGAAAGACACAGTTGTTTCCACGCTGATCATTGGTCCTTTTTATAGAACAGGCTAATGTTGACAATCATAAACTAATAGGTAAAATGTCGCAAAGATACACCATAAAGTTGTTTATCACTGTGGTAACTATTGAAAGTTACCACAGTAACTATTATAAAACTAAATTGCCCAACGTATGAATGGATGGATCTCTAATTGCTAATTACCGGGTAAGGCATTACATTCGGAGCAACAATAGAGACAGAAAAGCTGTTGATTGTTACCTCTTCTCCTGTGCCCTGCATAACTTCTATGGGTATGGCATAGATTTTGTTATGCATCTCGACCGATCGCTTCTTCCCACTGCGGATCTTCACCAGGAGGACACGGAAGTTTGTCCCTCCAAGGTCCAAAGCCAGGAAATCTCCATTTTCTATTGAAGGGACAAAAACAAAAAGATTTACATCCATCCATTGTCTGTCCTGCTTATTTCTTGTATTGTTGTTTGGGGGGGATGTAGAATTTTTTTATATTATTAATTTCTGTTAATGTTCAAATTGACAAAGTGATGTGTAATGTGGTGTTGAAGTTATATTGATGAATAACTATTCATATAACAAATTATACGTATATGTTGTTTGGGATGTTTCCTATTTGGAATTATTGTTCATCATTTTCTTATTGGTAGAATTGTCTGAAATAAATCCGTTCGTTCATTCAAAAGCTGAACATTTCTGATAAATCTACTTTAAATCTACTACTACTACTACTACTACTACTACTACTACTACTACTACTTAAATGTTTCCACAGAGAAACCAGTTATTCCGCGATTTGTGACTTTTTAATCTCTTTTTAATCTATTTCAGATAGCGTGACAGCACAGCTCTGGATGCCCTTACATACATGAACAACACCAGTAACACCATATTAAAAACAGGCCTGCAGCCCTCCAGTCTTTAGTCTTTTTCTGTCAGATGTCACTCCTGGTTACTTTGGCTCGCTGACAGAGAGCCACTGATCAACCATTGGCGGGACTGAGACTGATTTCAGATTCTGGAGAAAGGTACAAAGGCCTGTGAAGTCACTGAATGTTCAGCTACTTTTCTGTCAGTGAAGCTTTAAATAAGTCACCAAAGGGTCTCTGTGCCCTCTGACTGAGACAGCGAAGGCTCTCTTTCAGACACACAGGTCAAAAAGATGTGTTAAACAGTTAGACGAGACCGCATTTTTCTCCGAGTGGCTTTTTAGCAGAGATGTATAAAGTACTGGAGTAGAGGAGTGGAGTAGAAGTACAAGTACTATATAAAAAAATTGACTTGAAGTCAAGTTGAAGTGTTCTTTCAACCCTATACTTAAGTGGAAGTACGGAAGTACTCAATTTTTTTAAACTTAATTATTGCAAGTATTTTAAAAATTGCTACTCAAGTATTGAAAGTACGTACAATTTCGCAATCTTTCGGGAGGCTTTTTTTTATAGGCTATGCTTTATCGCTCAAATCGGCCAATGAGGAGCCAGCTTCCCAAACCATGACAGAGCTACCTACAGCTCTGGCTCTGACACTATGACTTGGGGATGATTCATTACGTTTACATATCAGTAATGAGTAACGATTCAGCCCGTGAAAGTAAAAGTAGAAGTATTAAATTAATCAAAAATATGTAGCGGAGTAAAAGTAAAAGTAGTGCAAAAAATACATACTCCACTAAAGTACAGATACTGCATTTTGGTACTTAAGTACAGTACTTAAATAGCTCTACTTTGTTACTGTACATCTCTGCTTTTTAGTCACCTGTTCCATCCGGTGTACTTCGCACAAAGGTAGGCAACATTTTGACGGTAGCCTCCTGGTGGCTGTCCTTCTTCAGGCCTCGTTCGATTTCCACTCGCATGCGCTTCTTCACCTCCAGCAGTTGGCTTTTGCTCAGCCTGAATTCGGCCAGGGTCTCCTGGATCTGCCGGGCCTGCTCGGTCAGGCGGTAGGCCACCGCCGTCACCATGGCCGCGCCCTTGGCGCTCCCGCTTTCGGATAGCAGGAAGCGCACGTCAGAGTCCGGGACCAGGCGGCGCACGGTCTTGTGGAGACGTCGGGCGTACCTGTTCAGAGAGCAGAGGGGGTTCTGAGAGAGGGGCTGGGTGTGGTAAATGCTATGAAACGCACCCCTCCACGACTTTTTATTACCACTGCTGTGTCATTCGGTAAAAAATGTCTGTAGAAATGCCAGTGCATGGTTCAGAGAATCATTTTTAACATCCATCCATCCACTTGTTCCCTAATGGAGAACTGGAGCCTATCCCAGTGGTCAGTCGGTGGATGGTACACCAAGGACGGTCCCCAGTCCATCGCAGGGTCACACAGAGACACACAAGGACCAAAAACCACTCACTAAGGGCAATTTGGACTGTCCAACCAACCTAACATGCGGGTTTTTGGACGGTGGGAGGAAGCTGGAGAACCCGGAGAGAACCTACCAGACATAGGGAGAACATGAAGACTCCACCCAGAAAGGTCCTGGGACTTGAACCCAGAACCTTCTTCCTGTGAGGCCATGTTGCTGACCACCACATCACCACTCCGCCCCATAATCTGAATATTTTTATCATTCAATCACACTAAGTTAATCACCCAATGTTGAAAGTGATCTGGATATGATTGTTATGCATGTGTTAAACCAGATTTCTCTGGCACATGATCATACATCTATATATAAATCATGGTATTTAGTCCAGTCAAAAATGTTACCCGATCCTTATTTCGAAATGTTTGCATATTTCAGGCTGATTTTTATAAATTAGCCTTTGATTCTTAAACTGTTTGTGAGTATTTCTGTCTACTGACTAGACAGTAACCTGTAGGTTAGCGTAAGAGTTTGTAAGTTACTCTTTGTGGTAGTTGTCCTGCAGGAGTTTTCTTCTGGAATACTCACTGGGGGTGCATCTTGTAGAGAGAGCCATCGATACCCACGGTGGTGCGAAGTCGCGCCACGCCTTTGTTTTCCTTCAGGCGGGAGAGGATGGCTCCCAGCGTGGAAGAGATGAGGTTCGCCGAGCGGAAGGAGACGATGGTGCACACGTGCTGCACCGCCAGGCAGTCCTCGTCCGAGGGCTCCACGCCCAGCCGCGTCAGGATCTCCATGCATTTCTTCAGACCCTCTTTAGTCCTGAAAAGAAGTTCCTCTTATAAAAAAACCTCATACCTACCGTTGGTCGGAATTCGGCCTTCCACCGAGACATTCTCTGCACTTACTTTTCAATGGCGGACACGTGTTTTGTCTCAATCTTCCCTTTGGTTAGGAGCTCGGGCGTTATGCGGCCCTCAAAGAGCAGCCCCTCTTTGGCCATCTTCACCAGAATGAGTCGAACCAGCTCTCCGATGTACATCCCGCTGGCCATCTTTTCAAACCTGATCAGAGCGTCACTTCATCAGCCAATTCAACTCGGACTACCTCCGACATGGGTCTGATCAGTTGTTATTATTCTTTAATGAAGGGGAAAAGAAACCGGCTCACAGTTGCTTTCCAGGGTTGATGGAACCTCGGTCAATCTCCCGGTCAAACTCCGTGCGGATGTCCTCCAGGGAGCCGTCGTCCCCAAAGGCGCCCCACTCCGTGTTGATGCACATGCGGCCTTCGTCGCCCTCCACCAGGTCGATGTGGCGCAGCTCTTCCATGTAGCAGGCATTCGTCCCCGTTCCTGAGAAGAAAAGGTGTTTGGTGCATTCGGCCATTTGTGTGAGTGTCACATCTGGGGGAATTTTTGGTGTTTTGTCTTTTCTCCATAGTTGTCTTGTCATTTCCTGTTTTATTTTGAAAAGTATATCCCCTTGTTTCAGGCCCTGTGTGTAGAAATGTCTGCTTGTCTTCCCTGATCCCCAATTTTGTTCCCAAGGGTTCCCTTCCCTTGTGTTTAGTTATAGTCTGAGTCTCTCTTTGTCTTTGCCAGTGTGTTCCGTCTTTTGACCCAAACTGAGCAATAATCTTGTCCTCGATCCAAAACCTTGCCTCGATTCTTGTTATCCTCCTATGAGTGATTTTGTGTTGTATATCCTTCTAGTTGTGTCTGACTCTTGTGAGTATTATCTAGTTACTTTGTTTCATAGCCTTTTGCCATCCTCTGTTTAGAGTGAGTTTATTTTGTACTTTGTTCACAAACTTGTCTGCCTCGTTTTATAGAGTGATTATCATTTGGGTACTGTCTTTTTCTTGTCATCCACTCTTTGCGAGTGCACTTTGGTTCCATTACAACCTTTTTGCCAAAGATCTCTGCGCCTGAGTCCTGCCTTGAGTTCCAACCTTGACAGTGTGTGCAAAATCAAGGAACATTTTGAAGAATTGAGAGGAACGGGATCTTGTGTCCGTAGCTCGGAATATGTTTTCAACCTTTTGGAAAAACTGATTAAAATACTGTAAATAACTTTATAAATGTTTGTTTGGCGTCACTTGTCATTCCACTGAATGATCCCGTGACATATCCGTCCTCACCTATGATGATTCCCACTTCGCAGCGCTGGTCGTCGAATCCGCAGGTCATCATCGTGCCCACCGTGTCGTTCACCACCGCCATGATGTCGGCCTCGTAGTCCTGTCAAAACACCACTTCTGCGCTCAAAATGCGGTCAACGAGACTTTGGCTTTTTATTTTTGAATGAAAAAAAGAAGAAGAAAGGAACCAAAAAAGGCGGGAGGAAAAATTCACCCCTCGTTTCTTGATGGCCTTGTTCAGGAGCTTGACGACATCCATGCCCTCCACTGCACTGGCTTTAAACTTCTTAGTCCAGGTAAGCAAGACGGCCTTTGCAAAAAAAAAAAAAAAATTTCATTCCACAAACTGTAAAATGCTACTTCTTACACATCTAATGCAGAAAAATGGCACCGTCTGATTTGTAAGTGTTTCGTTACATGATGGAAATATGTAAAAAAGGCAAAGAATTCCTATTATGTCGTTCAGCTTGTTAACTTTAGGTCATTTTATCTCAGGGAATGGTCTCACATTCAGATGTGGAGTGAATATCTTTGAGCTAGGAAAGGCGTTTACCTCATCCAGCTTGGTTTGAGCACAGGGGAAGGAGAAGGTGAAGCCCACCGGAAGCTTTTTGTCCTTAATTTTCTGTTTCTCCATGAAGTCTCCGAGGCAATCAGCAACATGGCCGAAGAGCTGGACACGGACAAGAGACGTTACTTTGGGATAGTTAACACTTATATTTTTAACTCTAATGACATGAATTAAACATTCCTGCAGAAAGCGGCACATTATTTTCTGACTCTGAGATTCGCTTAATTCTAAACTGCATTTTCAAACTTTTCTCTTTGGATTATTCGATAATCACGAATAATCACTTTTTGCTAGCTGTCTCTGCACCCTTACATTTAAATGCATTTGCTGTGTTCTGAGTAAAAACCTCACGGTTTGGATGACGTCCAGGTGCCAGCTGTTCTCTACAGTTTCATTGTAGACCAGCACAGGTTATATAATTTCTGACACGACTAAAAAAAAACATAATATGTCGTATGACACTATTTCAGTCTCAGGCCGAACATTAATACGGCTTAGCTCATCAGTGGCAAAGACAAAACTCATAATTCAAATTGTTTCTTATCAATGAAATTGAGTCTGTCATGGTTCTGATGAGGACTGCAACATGACGGCATTTTAGGCCTTTGCTTGTAAATGCCTTTAGGTTAGTCGGGCCATGTTTGAAAAATAAGATTGTCCTTAAAACGTCCAGTAATTCTGCCTTAATCTTACTAAACCAATGTTTTCAGAATCAGAAATACTTTAATAATCCCAGAGGGAAATTATTTTTGTTACCAACTCCAGACATACAACAGCACATATATATATATACATGTCCACACATATATATACATACATATATGTGTATATATTCACACAACATTCCACTCAAAATACTAATGAATATAGGCTGTTGACATCTGCTCTCACCTGGGTCCCATTGCCGTGGATGATGTCATCGGGGGTCTCATAGACCTGGCTCTCCATCTGAACCGGTTGCTTTTTGTCGTGCGTGACTTTGACACGCAGGATTCGAAAGTTGGAACCCCCAAGATCCAGAGCTATGAAGTCCCCCTTTTCTGTTGAACGAAGAATGCAGCTTAGTGATTCGGTGGTGTTTTACAGATCTAGACAACTTAGTCTTATCGGTTGATTTTAAGAGGAAGTGAACAAACATTCAGTTACCTTCTATCTAAAGTGATGGTGGCTAACATTTCCCATGAGACTCAGAGCCCTTCGGATCGTATTCAGAACAAACACAGACCAAAGTTTTTTGTGGATTTTATTCAGGAAACACATTGTGTATACAATTAGTAAAACTGACTTTTCTTCAAAATGTATTAAATTTTCTTATGATCCAAAGAACTCATTTAACAATTTAACAAAATTTAACAACATTTGCCATCAGATCAACTTATAAAATTCAGAGGAAAATTACCTGAAAAATTAAAAAAACTGGTGCTCCCATGGAGGAGCATTAGGCCCCCTTATCTTTTTGTCAAATTGACATTCAAAAAGAATAAAAGTAATGATGTAATCGCTGGGTAAACCACTGGGTTGTTTGTCAGGTTTAGAGTTACTCTGGAAATACTCTGCTCTGGAGGCCCCCTCATGTGAGTCTGCCTTCATTTGCATTCGCTTCAAAACCCCTTCACATTAAGAGCCTCCTGCCTTTCTATGCTTTCGTCTGCAACTAATCCGGACCGACACGGAGACAGAGCAGAGGAGGCCGACAGCTGTGAGACAAGCAAGCGCTTTGTTCCCAACCAAACAGCTTTCCTCACTCCGACCTGACCGGAATGACATGTGACCGGGATTGACTTTCGAGTGTCACCGGTATGCCGCTGTCACCGCTCTGATAACGGCAGCTCGAATGTTTCCGATTCCCTCTTTTCTGTATTCACTTTATTACGAAGTCTGTCCAGTCAAACTTTAACACCTCAGGGAGCAGAGGGCTTTCCTGTGGTGTGTTTTTGGACAATTTAGATGCCCGTTTTGCACTTTAGAGCCCTTTTTCTCTGTGATTACAGCTTTGACCTGTATAGCTTTTTTCACTTCCATTAAATAGGGTCGCTGAAATCTCACAGCTGGTGGTGTGAGCAGCTTTAACCTAACCAGTTAGCTTGCTCCATCATTTCCAACACACTCAACAACTTTAGCAAATCTTCACTGCAGCCCTGTAAACACTAAAATCTGCAACTGTATTCTGGGAATAGGGTCAGACCTACTTTCTCCAAAAGAAAATGATATGTGGTTAGTGCTTATGAAACTCTGTGAGCCGGAGAGACGTCACTGAGAGTCAACAAAAAGGTAAATTTATGTTTTTCCATTAGAAACTGAGATGTCAAAGTTCAGGCCGGCTTCAGCAGACTGAAGATGGATTTAACTTAGAGCTAAAACGGGAATTATTTGAACCTCTGTCCTCACGTTTTTTGTCGTATAATGACTAGTGTCGGATCTCAGCTAAGATTTAATTAATTTTCCTTTATGAGAGAACAAGAATAACATGTTAGATTAGATTAGACTTTCACTAAATTAAAGAGGCTGCAGTAAAGGTGGATTTGTCTTCATTCTTTAAGCTTGACGACCTTTTTCATTATGTCTGTCTTTGCTTGTCCGACTTTTGAATGTTTATCATTTCTAAAGTTCGTCAAGTCTTCACCCTTGCCCTTTGCCCTTTGCTTTCTATTAGTTGTTGAAACTTGTGGCTATTTATAATGTGAGAAGACATGAGTGAGTCTTTGTGGCTTTGCCCAGCTACATAACTCCCATTCAAGGGCCTGGCTCAGCTCAATTTGCAGTCAACATCCAGACAGTTTTTCCATGTAAAGAAGAAAAATACAGAAATCATCTAAAACTAGCTATGGCCACATTATTTCCTTTCCTCTTTTTCTACAAAACACAGATATTTGTGTGTTTCTTAGACACTTAGAAACACTGGTTTAGGATCCTTTAAGCTGCATCGTAGTAAACTGACATGTTTTTCAGGTTTCCATTTGTCAGGGTAGTGTTTTTCTGAGGGGTTTCCTGGTGTTGAAGCTGTTTGGTCCATGGGCTAAAACAACAGTGTTCTACCGAGTCCGAATCCATAGCACAAAGAGCCTTGTGTCACAGAACAGGCCTGATGATTTGAACACATCAGCACATTTTACGAACAGAAAGGGGACGCATCGGCCTTAACACACTTCCAGAGTAGATGTGTCCAATGTCAAACCACTCATGGAAAACCCTGCTCATTCATCATACCTGACCCATTCATCACATGACAAACCCACTAGTCTGTCAGATTTAACTCGTTTCAAGGTGTAAAAGTCCAGCAAACATTCAGTTTTTGGGGGATTTGAACCCATCGCCTCACCTGACCCATCAGGGATGGACCTGACAAAGGTGGGCAGCATCTTCACGGTGGCCGTGGCGTTGGTGTCGCGGCCCAGTCCGCTCTCCATTTGCCTCTGGAAGCGTTTCATGATGTCCTTCAGCGTGTCATCGGAGAAACGCATGGAGTACAGGTACTTGTCAATCTGGAAAGGCGAAGCCAAAGCAAGGCGGTTAGGAGATGCTTTCAGTAAAGAATAACAAAAGAAGAGGAAAAACAAAGTAAATGTGCCTATGTCAGAATAACATTCACTCTTTTCTAACACCATCCACTGAGATAAAGTTAGATTTTAGATAAGGAGAAGGTAAGGAAAAGTTTTCTCCCCATTATTGATACTTGTGGTATATTCATCAGGGAGCGTTTCTTATTCTTAAAGGATCTTCTCGTCACTAAATTGTAAATTATACAATATATGTCATTCATATTTGTTTCCACAAACTGAGTTTTATTCTATGGCTGTGTAATAATTCAGGAATTCACGGTGATTAAATTGTTTGAAGGTAACAGTATATAAAAACAGTTTTGCTGATTCGGGACACTCAGATTTAATCCCAGTGATGTTTCTCTTATTGAATAAAGGTTAATAAAACAAATAAAGCCATCAGATTTATTTTGACATCCTCCTGAAGCTTTACATCCTGCTTGGGGATGCTGTCATTTTCATGTTTTCATGAGAGGCCTCATTTCATTTTTCACATAAAAAAATATATATATTAACACTTTAAAACATATGCAGTGAGTAGATATCAGCTTTATTTATTTTCCAACATTTCAGTGATGGCACTCCCAACATGGCAGGAGAGGATCCATCACATTCAGGTTTATAAGGTGTCAACATTTCCCTCTTTTTTGGGATTTGTTTCTTTTTTTTGGAAAGTTATCCCCCGTACTGACTTATAATCGCCATTAGCCTACTTCACTTGTGGCATGTCTGTATCTACTGCCGTGTGACGCCACCCCCCCCCCCCTTTTTTTTTACCCCCCCCCCCCCCCGCCCCCCCAGGGAATATTTCCTTCCCTGTCCACTTTATACTGAAGCCATGTTCCATTTCATTGGGTTCAGATTCCACTCATTAACGATGGCTCGGAGTCCATGGGAAAAATGGAAAAGCAAACAAACACGAAGTGGTCTGGTCTGTCCAAATAGGAAACGTGAGGACCAAACCCAGGGGGGGGTGAACGAGATCCCACCGCTGCCGACTTCGTCTAACTCGCCCTCAGACACCTGTCTGCTTCGGGTGCCATGGCAACCGGTGCTCCGGAAACACTCGGCCGATGAGGTATCTGTCTGCCGCACATCCCCACCATCCCCGACCACGGCCCCCCCTTCTCAAGGACATCCACGCGGAACACCTCTAACCCCCCCAAACGAATCCAAACGGAGATCCGGATCGGACTCCATCGTGGCCTCCTCTTTCCCCCCTGTAACTCCCCCCAAAAAAACCTCCATCTATCGTCCTTTCCTAGCCTGGTTCCACACCCCTAAGGGCTCAGTCCTAACACAAGCCAGTGTCCACCGGGCTGCTGACCACCTCGCCCCACTCCCCCCGGTCCAGCACAATGGGATGTTCCAGAGCTGTGTCTCACTCACCTTTTTCAGCTGATCATCTTTCAGCTCCGTGAAGTAGTAGGCCAGAAGCTGAGCGGCTATCATCCTGCCTGCACGTCCGCGAGGGGCTTCTGTCAGCTACTACGAAGTGGGGAGGGTAAGGGGAAAGGAAGCCTGTTGTTTTTTTGTTTTGTTTTTTCACTCCTGGATCCCCCCCCCAACGCTGATCTCTGGGAAAAGGAGCGGGCCTAGGACAGAGCCACTGGGCAAGGTTAAAGGAAAAAAGGTGGTGAAACAGGAGTACGGCAGCCTCCTTTTGCCTGCTGGTCTGCGACAGGCAGCAGTCACCGCCTCACACACACACGCACACACACACACACACACACTCACACACACAGATATATACACACACGCGCGCAGGCTAGGTTTCACGGTGCCTCCTCCCTCTGTAGTTGGTAGCTCCCTGTTAGCTCTGGGGAGATGGAGCAGCTCTTCACTGGAATGGTGGTTCTGCAAACACCCTGCCCCCACCGGCCCCTCCGATTGGCTGAGCTCAGGATACGGAGGAGGAGGAGGAGGAGGGGGAGGGAGGAGCAGAGCAGAGGAGGGGGTAGCTAAGGGCGTGAGGAAAGGGAGGGGGGATGGGGGGGGGGGTCGTGAGCAGAAGGAGGAAGCTGCATCTGCATGATAACCGGCACGCCGCGCGGCCTACGGCAGCCAGAGGTGGACGTGCGGCGGGGCAGGACAGCCACACTGTGACGTCATCATCCCCCCCCCCACCCCCACCCTCACCCCCCCTCTCTCTCAGCATCAGCCACAGCCGGATGACCGGAAGAGCATCCCCTCCAAACGGCCAATCCACGTCCTCACAGCAAAACAACCAGCCTGCCGTTCTCTTATCGCCCGCACACACACACACACACACACCCACAGCAGGCTGGCAAAAAGCCCTCCTAGCTGAACCTCATTCGGGTCATCCGTCTAAGAGATCTCCTCAAACCGGGTCGATTTCACTGCTTCACCGGCATCGCTGTTTCTTTAGGCCACGAAAAGGCATTAGCGAGGGGTTCCGCAGTACGGGCTTATCGCTCACTGACCAGAGGTCTTCAATCCCAGGAAAAAATGTCATGTAACGTACTGAGAAGTTGTTTAACATCCGTTCTCATTTGTGGGGTTTCAGTTCATATCCAGGTGTTAGCTTAAATGACTCATACAGACCTGTGAACCTGAGAAAGAGATGAGGTTTTGTGCTCAAATCATGGAACTCATCTCTTGATTTGGCCCGTTTGGTCTCATTACTGTGGTTTCCTGTAGTCTTTTACCCCAATGAAGTCTGAACTGACTGTCAGGGCAAACACTACAACCTATCATCAGTCAGATATTTGGGCTTTTTATGTACTGAACCCTTTAATTCGGCAATCGTGCTTCTCTGTTGCGACAGTGATGGTTCAGTTCTAGTTTCCCGTCATAAACCGGGCCGCATCGTAGATGCTATTTGATGGTTCCAGCTCTGGTTCCCTGAGAACAGAGCTAGTAAAACGCGGTGACACTGAAACACTGTTGAATGCTGACTGGTCGGAGAATCGCCACCTGTGGATTCATGCACACTGACATGAATCCACATGCACTCAGAAGGTCTCGGGGACACTTTAAGACCATGGATACTGATAGAATTTGGCTAAAATGACTCATTTTTAGCATAGTATGCTATAACATAATCTATGCTAATTACTGTTTGTCTTATTCTTTTTAGAACTTTACTTTTTGTTAAAGTCTCTGGCTGTGCCTACAGACTCTCCTTTTCTCTCTTTTTCTTTCTTTGTTCCACACCTTTAGGTCAACACACACACACCATTTGTTACCACATTCCAATGTCATCTGCATGAATTAGGACCTGGCCTGTTCATGACCAGAGCTAACTAGCCAATAGGACTTGGTTATGTCCAGTCCTCCTTAGAAGAGATAATGCCCATCACACCCAGATCTCGGGGCTCTTTGCCAACTGAGACCCAGAGAGAGGTTTTTGTCTGTGAAGAGTCCAGCGCTGATATACTTTAACTGTGTCCAATAAATGTTATTTTTGTACTTTTGGTCGGTCGCCACCTGTGGATTCATGCACACCGACAATCTTCCACATCCGTGCAGCACTTGGAAGGTCTCGGGCACACTTTAAGACCATGGATACTGTTAGAATTTGGCTAAAATGACTCATTTTTAGCATAGTATGCTATCCCATAATCTATGTAAATTACAGATTGTCTTATTCCTTTTAGAACTATACTTTTGTGTTAACTTATCTGGCTGTATCCATAGATTTTCTTTTTTCTCTCTTTCTCTCCCTGTTTCTTTAGACACACGTCATTAGGTCAACACACAGACACACACACATACACATACACAGACACACAAACTTTGTTACCACATTCCAAGGTTATTTGCATTAATTAGGACCTGGCCGGTTCATGTCAGGGTTAGGGTTAGTTAATAACTGGCCAATAAGCACTCAGTCATGTCCAGTCCTTTTGAGGGGTGTGCCCAGCCCAGGAGACAAATGCCCATCACACCCAGATCTCGGGGCTATTTGCCAACTGAGACCCAGAGAGAGGTTTTTGTCTGTGATATACTTTGCCTGTGACCTAATAAATGTCATTATTATATGCACTAAAGAATCGGGCTAACGCTTGACGTAGTCGGAGGGGAAAATCCCCCCTCCTCCTCGTAGCTACGTCACCCCGCCGTGCGTTAGGAACCACGTCTGCTGACTCGGTCAGACTCTAGCCTCACGCATCCCGCTTATCTCCCCGTGACTTGTTGACATTTGGGGCTTTCTTTCAACGATGATCTTCCATTTTCCCCTCCTCGCTCCCTCTCTCTCTCTCTCTCTCTCTCCCTCCGTCTGCCCTTGTGACCAAGCTTAAGTAAGCTGCGGCCCTTCAGGGATTTCAGTCGTGATAGGAATGCCTTAGCGGTACGCACCCCCACCCAGTCCCACACACACACACAAACACACACACACACTCTTTCAACCAAAAGATCTGGCCGAACGGGACGGAGGCAGCAGGGGGAGGGCTCAGCATTGATTCCCTCCCCTCCGGGCCGGAGTGCCCTCCCCGGGTGTCATGGCCGCTTCAGGGTGACCTTCTGTGGTGACCACATCGTTATCTCTGCTTACAAACAGCTCCGGCCATTCAAATCCAAATCCCTGCATTTATCACAGCAACGTTAGCGGGGAAAAAAAGTCTGCTTTAAAAAATCAGTTTTTGAACATGTAATCTATCCTAATTTAAGTGTAAAAATTGGGTTTGAAGAACCCCAAAAAATATAGAAAAAACCTCTGTTTTAGTTGAACAAGGGATAAAAAAAAACATTGTTAATCAAGACATTTGGCCTCATTAAATGTGAACTATTTCTATAAAACTATTATCATAAGAATTTATCCTAAGATCAAATATTTCCCTTCTTCTTACATTGTTGAGATGCACAGTTTATAAAGCTGGCGAAATTACTTTAAAGTATAACTGTACGTCTTCACAAAGCTGGTGTTTTAAAAACTATTAAGGACACAGTTAAAAGTTATTTTAACACTGTAGAGTCTATGAAATAGTTCTAATCTGCTCCTTATTTGATGCAGAGCATTTAAAAGAGCACTCTAAAAAAGCCTACTCAGGTATAAATGTTATCTTTGACTTTTTGTCCAGACAGATTTAGATATTCTACATGTATAAAGAAAAATGTCTAACTGAATAAATGTTACTGGAGAGGTCAGATCAATAGTCTGTCTCAGAGACAGGTTTTAGTGCCACCTAAGAAAATATGTTCATTTTTTTCTTTTTAAAGTCAAACGGACCATAATAGTATAGTAAATATAGCTATAGAAAAAGCACATTTTGTTTGGTTATTCTTTAACAGATGTAAATCCAAAGACATGATTTTCAGAGGGCTTATTGTGTTTGTAACGTCTTCTTGTCCTCTCTGGGTACTCTGGTTTCCCAAAAACAAGGATGTCAGGTTATCTGATAACAGGAGTGGGTGTCAGCATGCCTGGATGGTTGTCTCTGTGTGCCCTGTGAGGGACTGGGGCCCTGACCAGGGTCTTCCTGGTGTCCTTCTGAACAAAAATTGAATAACTTTTAAGAAAATAATGATGACAAATAGAGAGAATGGAATTCAGATAGGTAGTAACTATATAAAAAACACAAAACCATCCCAGTCAAACAATAAAAATGGGCCTGATGAGGAGATAACAGAATGTAATATCAGCTCTAAAAATCAGAACCAAATCCAAAACATCCACAACATCCAGAACCAAACACAATAGCTTATTGTTTCTCCCTTTTTACTCTGTCTGTGCCCTTCCTGTCCATCTTCGTCCCCGTCCAGTCCAGGCAGATGACCTTTCCTGGTTCTGGTTCTGATGCAGGATGCTCCCCAAAAGAAAGACAGAGAGAGAGAGAGATCTCCTCTCTGTTGTTTTTTAACTGAGGATGCAGTTTTACATCGTATAAATGCAACTGTAATAAACCAGATTCAGCTTTAAATCCACTGCACTGAGGTATCATATATTTGTCATTAAACAACTTAATCAAAGTTGGTCACAAAAACACTCCTAGGAATTCTTCTGAGGGATTTGCCTTTTTAATGTATTTTGAAACAACTGATGACAATGTTCAGCATTTCTGGGCAGTGGTTTCATATCTATTATCTTTCTCAGAAGTACCACTAACACTGTTTATTGGCTAAAGTCTGTTGATTTGACCCTAGCTTGTATCAAAATGTCAAACTGAATGTGAATTAAATAACTAACGTTGTCACTCTTCTATCCCAAATTAACTTTTTATCCTGAACACGTTGGAATGGAGTTGATTAGTTTATTGTAAAACTACAATGAAGGAAACACACAAGTTAAAAAGAAGAAGAAAAGCTTCTCTATCCTGCTGCCCCCATTGCACTCAGATGGTCTAAAATCGAGTATTTTTCCAGCAAGGGGCACATCGGACTTGTAAGCTTCCTGCTCATCACATTATCATGCTCCAATAATCGCTTTTGTTTCCTCTACAAACACGCGGCGGGCCGGGGCCAGAGAACGGACAACTGGAATTCAGCGAGTGATCAAAGCTCACGGAGACACGCTCTCCCTCGCAAAGGGGCACAAAGATGGAGCTCAGCAGGCCGGGAAAGGGCCAAAAATGAGGCGGTGGTCGTTACTTTTCTGTGCTTTGTGAAGCAAATGCATTCAGAGGCCTCTATGCTCACAAGCTGCCAGTGGACACAACGTGTAGCACACATGGAAATGGAATTGAAGTGCAGCAGAGCAGACTGGAACAGACCATATTTAGGCACTAGGTGGCAGCGTCTAACGCAGAATAACAAACGATGCTGAACGGTCGATGGCTCTTTCCTCGTCGCGTCTTTTTAGTTTCATCGTCAGTGGACGGACTCAGAAGAACGTTTCATTTGAACGTGGAGATGAGTTCACTTTCTCTTTTTTTTTTAGATTTCATTTTTTCAAAGTTTTCAGTACGACATTAATAACACAGAACAGTTCGACATAGAGAGCAGTTGGCAAAAATGCAGCTTGTTGAAAGTAGAGATGAATCATGAACCATTTTGAAGCACAGCACATTTTACCCTGTGGGAAACCCATTTTGACCAAAGTTTGTGAAAAATGTCAAGTTTAAACGTCATTTGTTCCATGTTTCTTATTTCAGCCATGATGGGATGAGGTCACTTTCATCCATAAAGGTTCCAGTTAATAGACAGCTTAATTTTTTCGCCTTCTTTAAAAAACTATAAAGTAATCATGATGTTTTTCTGTTTGTCGGTTTATCTGATATGAAATATTAATGGGGGAAAAACAGTAGGTCAAGTTTCATGAGGTATATATTTCAAAATTCAGCTTGTGTGTACAGTTATGCTGATGTCCATCCATCCATCCATCCATCCATCCATCCATCCATCCATCCATCCATCCATCCAT